TTGTATATATATTTGCAGTGTGCATGTGTATACCTGAAGTCTGAAGATAGTAATGGTACATTGAGAAAGTTGCTTGTTGCCTTGTGCCTCTGAACCTCCATCTGGAAAATAATATCTGCTACGTAATGTGATGCATATATGGGCTATTTAAACACTAAGAGTACTATAACTGGCCTACAATAGATTTGCAAGTCTCAGTTTTGGAGATGCTGATGCCCAAAGTGGGGAAAAAAATCTTTCATGATGCTTGGAATAAGTCTCCTTATGGAATTTTATTAAATTAGTAAATACGTTCATCTGTGAAATCCTCTACTACTGGAGAATAAATATTGATTATTTTTACTTTCTTGTCAAATCGTTCATTTTCATTGCAGCAGTACTGTTAACACTTAGAAATTCTAGCATTTTCCTCCTTTAAGATATATTATTTTCCCAAGCCCTTGATTGTGGAATTACACCAAACATTTCTGGACATATCATTAGTCACAGGATAATTTTAAAAAGTGACTTCAATTCTGCTGCGTTGTCCTTATGAATGCAACCCTTTTCCCTTGTTTAAATCATTGTCTTTTTATATCTTAAAATTAGTAAAAAAAAAATCTTTAAAACTTTAAGACAATAAACATTTTTGCAGAACCACTTTGATCCCAGATCTTATATAATTACTATTATATTTCAGTATGAGTCAACCATATATTTGATCCAACTGACATATTTTTACTTTAAATACACATAATCAAAAAAGTAAAACAAAACTTTCATATAGGAAATCACTTTTACAATGTGATTCAAGATTCTATTTAGTTTATTTTGATTTGTTTGTTCATTTGTTTCTCCTGGAGAAAAATATACTATATTCTTATTTTGGCTTAGAATATTAAGTCATAACTTCTGATCTTGCCAGATAGTAAAACTAAACACTTTTGGCTCTAGCCAGGTTTTTGGAAGAAATGTAGGTGCACCAGGAAGAGATGTTAGTAATTCCAGTTGTCCAACTCTTGCCTTTAGAGTATTCCCTGAATTGTGTTGGAATCCGTTACTGTGTTGCTGTGAACTACGCCTGCCAACTTCCACCCTAGAGATGGCTATATTTCAGAGATGAGTGAAACGATACTTGTAAACAAGTTTATAATCATTAATAAAGCTTACCAAACAACTTAAGCTCTTTAGAAACACATTCACTCTCATAATTAGTTGCCTATTGCTTATTTAATTACAACTTTTAGTAGAGACACACAGACTTTTAAAAATGGAATTTGTAAAAATTTTAAACTTAGGTTTATTTTCATGATGTTTATTTTGCCTTTGTAAGTTTTAGGTGTCAATTTATTTCTCTCTGGAGATCCTAGTTGAAATTCTACCATTGACTATTCCAGTGCACTCTTTAAAAATCCCTACGAATATTTTTCTGTAAAGTTGACAACTGCCCACTTTGGGATCCAGATGCTATATTCGCAGTGGGATGATTTTGTTCTGTTTCCCAAACACAGCCCTTTCTTACACGGTCTCTCAGAGATGGAAAATTCTGCCTCGTTTTTTTACATTTTATAGTAACCTTTCATCAGAATTACCTAAAACCAGGTCTCTTCATTCCAGATGGCGTCTAGTTCAAGATTATAAGACTCATTTGTAGTTTGGTTCCCTAAATATCTTGTTGGTAAATTAATCCAATGTCTCTTTTTAGAGCTCCTACTTCTTGCAGAACTCACACAGCCACTGCGTGTGTGTATAAGCAGCACTGAAATACTGGAGTTTCCAATAAATGAAAAGAAATCGACAGACACTAGCAAGTGTCAGCGGGTCTCTGAAAGAATGTGCTGGAACCTGAGAGGTCTTTGAGCTTTGTGGTGGTGTCCTTTAGAGTCAGGGGAGTATTTCTTTCCACAAGATTTAAATAATATATAATGTTATCCCCTCTTCCCCTAAGGTTTTTCAACACTGTGGTTGCTCTTCTGACACAAATATATTGGGCCCTCTTGTATCTCCATTCAAAAAGTATTTAATGAAAAGACCCTTGTTTCTTAAGAGTTTTAAGTGCTGCAGCTGGTATCCATGGGCAAACTGAGAAAACATGGAGAACATAATGTTCTCCTCAAATGGAAAGGTTTTAAACCTTGCCTGAAAATAATAAACACAATACCTAACACTTTCATAGTCATTTTAAGTTGGAGAAGTGTATGCACATCTGTCATATTGTTTTGTAGTCTTGTGAAGGGAGAAAGGCATTAAGCCATTCAATAATTGCCTACTGCATGCTAAGCACCATGAAAGGATGGGCCATGATACACAAGGCAGTCCAAAGAGCTTAGGCTTTTCTTGGGAAGAGGAGACACGAACAGAAAGAGATACAATAAAAGTAGTATATAAATGTCTACTGTAATAGAGAAATAGGGGGACAAATGGAGACTTAGAATGATGTTCCATACCATGCTAGGAAATGTACATGTATTGTCTCATAATATCCCTCCCAACTCTAGAACAGCAATTTTATCAACAATTTATGGACAAGGAAATCCAAGCTCCCAGAATCTAATTGCCTCAGGAAGCTAAGTGCCCATCAGGAGCTTTGTACGGAATTTCTGGCAGTCACGACATCAAGCAAGGCTCCTGACTCATCAGCCATTACCCACCAGATCAGGCTGGTTTCGGAAAACATGCAGTATTAACATATCCCCATTTTTTTCTCTTAACGCTGCCCCTTTCATTCCAACAGCGCTGGTGTCCATCAGGCCTTGCCCTCAAGGCAGGAAAGGAAATTGTAGGTCCTCCTTGGTGAAGGAGGCTGTTTGCTTTTCTTAGTTGACTTAGTTGACTATGACCAGAATTATTTCTAAGTTTGCTTTCCGGGGAAAGGAACAGTCAACAGGTAGAGCGCAAGTTCAAAACCCCAGAGGTCTCGGGTTCAATTCCCAGGACCTCCTCCAAGCCGCAATCAATGAAGAAATCTAGTTAAATTTGGTTTCTGAAGTTAGACTACCAGACTGAGGGCCCAGGAGGGTCCTTTGGACAGTGAGCCCATGGAGTCGCGATGGGGTCTCAAGACATGATGGAGACCTGTTTTACCCATAAAGAAACGGAGGCTCAGAAAGGCGAAATGACTTGAGTAAGGTCACACAGACTTGACGGTGGCAGACGTGGGATCAGAACTAGGTTTTCTGATTCCAGCCCAGTGCCTCCCGTGATCTTCATTAATCCCTGTGTTAGCTTTGGTATATATTATGTGCTTCCCTCTGTCCTGTCATCTGAGTGGGGGATGTCCTTCCAGTCAATTAACAACCTTCTCTCTTGTCAAAAAGAGAAGAGTGGATAAGGGGTCGGGGGAAAGTGGGTTTTCGGCCACTGAAGGGGGCTGCTTTATTTCAGCACCACTCATGGACCGCCCGCTCCGTGCCAGGCACTGGGCATCCAGGGTACGGCAAACACAGCTTCCAAAGACTGAAACTGGGTTTCTCTCTAGACCAGGCAGGCCCCGCTCCTTGACTGTTGCATCTCAGTGCTGTCTCCCGCTGTTCCCCGAGCCCCACTGCCGGCCCGTGCAGGTGCCCACGGCCCCAGCGCCGTGCCAGGCCCGGAGCGGGCGTGAAACGGCGGGAGAAACCCAGCAATCGCGCGGAGCAGGCAGTCCCCGCGCCCGAGCCTTACGCTCCCGGTCACCACGGCAACCGG